TCGGATAATTGACAAGGCCCAACAAGTGGAAATCAATATAAATGGAGAGGAACTAACATTATAGGAGTTCGAACACGGGACCTCACGCTCTGATACCATATTAATATTCATGGGGTTCCTTCTCAAAACTAATTGGTAGCCCACTTATATTATAAATCATTGTTAGATCCTTTATTTTATCAATGTGGGATCCTTAATTTGTCTCTTCAAGATCGTGGCTCTTTTGGCTCATCGATCTTAGCCGGATCCCATTTTTGGACCGGATGCTCGTTTGAGCTTTTGGGCTCTAATACCATGTTAAAGATGAATAAACCACCACTCAACCCAAAAGCTTAAGCTGATGGATTAGGTAAATTTAATTCATTTATGAGTATCTCAACACATTTGGTTTACACCAAATTGGTATCAGAGCACCAATATCTTTGGTCTCGAAATGGCGGCTAAGAAAAATCCCAATGTTGGAGATTCTTCCCTCATCCAAAAAGAGGCCGAGCATATCATTGACCTCTCACCACGAACCACAACCCGATGCTTGTTGTCGGTTGAAGAAGCAGCGGACAATGTCCAAAGGAATGTGGTGGAGATCCGTCAACTCCTACAAGATGTCATGGCATGTCTGGATAACATAAATCTACAAGGAAACCAAGAAAGAACAAATCAAGATTTTCAGTAGAGGGAACAAAGGGTTAAGATGAGTCAATATCAATTACTTCAAGCTCCAAGATTTATCCAAGATCCTTTGACCGTCCCAAGATTCTTTAAAGAACCCCAAGATTTATCTATTACTTCAAGATTCTCTGCTTTTTCTGATTACTGTTTTTCGAAGCATTTTACAAACATACCACTTTGGTTCTGATTTTGTATCTGTTGATGCCATGGGAAAGAACTAAACGTCTCGTTCCCCTATGTTCTCTACAAAAAAAATCTTGCATTACAACTCTGTTGCTGCAAGCAATAAAATATTGTTGAATTCTGAGCTAGGTTCTTGCAGCGTAAGAACCGCTCGGGACTTGATCGTGCCAACTAAAGTTGTCAATGAACCAACAACTTCTCAGATTCTGTCAAGCCCTGAAACAGATGGTGTGAATGTCTTGGAAGACAAAGCAATGAATCAGATTGAGAAAATTCATCAAACTGCTATCTCGAACAGAACTTTATTAATAAAGGAGACAGTGCCAGTAAAATGCCCATTGTTTTATAAATTGAGCCACAATTCCCACTAGCTGATGAATGCAGCAAAATCAAGACGCAGCTTAGTCCTCGTCTCACTAATCTTGTCAAGAGTGGTTTTGTTCCAGATTCAACCATTGATGATTGTGGAAATTCAAGCAGACAAAGGATATATGAATTTGCAATACCACAGTTTATCTTGCCTGTCCAAGTGGATGGTGAAAATCTTTTAAAATCTCCAAGCCCTGGGACAAGTGAAAGAATTAATTGCAATGGGGGCTCCTGCACTGGAGATGACCTTTTTCTCTCCACTGGAGAAGTTCGACCTTCTCTACTTAAGGGGAAAGATGAGGAACAAACTACAAATTTTTTCCACCATGATAGACCTCAAGAAAGCAAAAACGAAGGGTTCTTGGTTCAAGATTCTGAATTTTCCAGCAAAGAAGAAGAGTTTTTCTGTGGGTTTGTAGATTATTTTGATGATACTGGAGAAGATTCTCATAGGAGTGCAGAGATTGAAGGGGATGAAAGAAGCTTGAAGCAAGAACATACCAGAAAGTCTTTCCTTCCCAACAGACTCCAAGAATGTAGATATGAGGAGTATTTTTGTTTGGATAAGTTAAAAAGGGCATTTTTGGTTGGAGTATTTTTGAACCACAAGAAAAAACAAATTTCCATTTTAAAGATTGTTTGTAGCCTTCTAACCCTACTGCATTTAAACTTGGACGAGTTTTCTTTCAAGAGGGAAGGAAATTGATGCAATTACGAGCCCATTAGTTTTATTAGTTATTACTTATTAGTTAAAGGTTGAAGTTAGTTGGTTAGCTGTTATTAGTTAGTTGGCTGTTATTAGTTAGTTCTTGTTAAATGTTCAGTAGCCCTCTTCTATAAAAGGGTCTGCTGTCTTCATTTGTTGAATAGTTTTTTCAATTAATAAAATTTCTCTCATTTGGTTTACACCAATCATCCTCCTTAGAATTCTCGGATAATGATTTAGAAGATGACGATGGCGCAATCAGTATTAGTAGTTTGGACTCTTCTCGAAAGTCAGACATCCTTATTGAGGATTTTTCTAGGCATTCCTTTGAGGAAGATTTTCAAATTTTATTTAAGGAGCCACAAGAAGATGAGAAGTCAGTTCTCCCACAGCAAAACGATCTTGAGATGCAAAGACACAATAAGAGAACTTTAAGAATCTTTAACTTCGGGCTTGCTAGCAACTTCATCGTCGTCCTTGACTTCTGAAAAAAGGACATTGGGATCTTGAGAAAATTTGGCTCAAATTTCAGCTATTTCTCCTTCCCGGTCATCTTAAATCGCCAACACTTTCTATAGTGCTCTTCTAGTATTGCCTCCTGCTCTTTGCAAAGCGGAATAAATATATCCAAAAATTCTCTTTCAAATTTGGATTCTATCTCTTGATTTTGAGCAAAATAGGATTGTTTTCCAAAAACAACACATCCATACTCAGATCTTTTGAGGATTAAAACGCTTGTGTCTTTTTTGACTTAATGCATAGACCAAGAAAATGCCTTCTATTGCCCTATGATCAAATTTTGACAAAAAATGGCTAGGTATGTAACTTTAAAGAGAGCACCGAAAGACTTTGATAGATAAATCAAAATATATTCAAAGTAAACCACTACTTCTCATTTCTGCAATCTCATCCGACTGAAACATGAAACATAAATTTTTTTTATTTTTAATGTGCTACAATTACGATTAAGAAATGA